CTTCAATTATTTCAAGCATTTCCAAGTATTTTGTAATTTAAGAAAATTGGTAGATGTTGAGCTGTCACTATTATGCTTCCTTGGCTAAGACTTAACACCGTGTTTGTTAGTCCATCAATGACTACCTACCGGCTACCATATACATATATTATTATTTTTTACGATTAATGAGAATTTTTGAATTTGGTTATGCTTAAAATTAAGGACTAAGTCGGAAGTATTTTTAGAAAATTATTTTTTTCGTACTTATTTTTCAATCACATATTTTTTAAAAAAAATTAAAATCATTTTTCACTTTTTTTTCGTAACATCTACATATTTTACAAAAAAAATATTACTTTCAATGAATTTCTCCCGTACAAGGGCTAAATGTGTGACTTATTTTTTAATTTGGGTTCACCTATAATATTCAAAATATGTCACATTCGGATTTTGTCTTTTAGCACAAGCCATCCCAAATACGCTATATACGACCTGTTTGGTACAGATTCTCATTTTCTACAGTAAATTAATTCTCATTTTCAACCACACATTTTTCAATCACATCAATACTTTTTTCTTCTTTTTCAACCACACATTTTCTATCATATTACTATTCAAAAATCAATTCTTCCCCCAAAAATCTCTACCAAACACACTTAATCAATGGAAGAGAATTGGCAATAGGGGTGGACAAAATTCCAGTTGGCCTTTTATATTTGGTTGTGCTTAAATTTTAAATTATACCGTGCTCGTTTATTTTTGCTTCCTGTATTAGAGTTTATGAAAGAAATTACCTTAATTTTTGTTTGAAAACTATTTTTTAAAGGAGTTTTCTATTCGAGAAGTTCTTTAGACGAAGTCACATTGGACCAGCTTCCTTGAAAATTTCTTCTGAATAGAAGAAGCACTTTCATATGACAATGTGGTCACTGTCATGTAAAACACGACTAATGAATACCATTACCTTTTATATAAGGGGGAAAAAAAAGAATACATTTTCTTAGTATTGTGGAATTTGTTGTGTGGAAATGTTGTTGCTTGTGAACGAAGTTAGAATAATTTTTCAAAGAGATGGTTAGGTAGCATAGCAACCAGAAGTTTGATAAAGTCAAGATAATAGTGGTAATTATTTCAAAAGTTGATAGTTGGTGAAACTCATTGTAAATGTGAACAAATGCAAATTTTATACACGCACTTAACGATTTTCACAATTAGGTATGATAATGTCATAATACATCGAAAGACTTCAAATGTGTCATTTCTCATTTCTTTATCAATAAATTTTGGAGTTCATAGTAAATGGACGTAAAAATATTGGTTTCACTATATTTGTCTTACTCGACCTTGTTCTTTATCTAAACTCTTCAATTTAGTTACGTACGAGAAGATTGAATAGTTAATTTATGTCACGCTTTTTCATTTATATATTCATGATTATAATAGATAATTGAATTTCGTATCTTGAAACTCTATAATATCTATCGTGTCTCGTAAGCACGCGTTTGGCAACAACATATTTTAACAATTGAGAATTCACGTCGAAAAAATTCAAGATTTTTTTTTTTTTTCCTAAATTTTGAGCCATTAGGATATTTTATTGATAATTTTGATGTAGGGAAGGGTCATTGTCATAGCATTAAGTGTCGATATATTTTTAAGGTCTAAACAAGGGATAAGAGTGGTCCCAAACTAAATACCGAAAAAAAGGAGAAAACTTTAATCAGAGAAGCTTCATAGAAAGTTGAAGTCCACAAGAATTGTCATTTTCATCACCACTTTATTTTATTTTGGCATTCTCCTACTTGTGGACACCTCAACAGATTTTCACTAGTGTTTATATATATATATATATATGTATGTATCCAGTTCCTTTTCAATGGCAAGTGAGAACAACATAATCATGATACCGGAGACAAACACAGAATTAGTTCACTGCCAAATGACTAAACTGAGAAACATCGACAAATGGAAAGAAACGGGTCTATATTGTAGAGCCCAAATCTGAAGTTTTATTAATATGTACAGCAAGTTGGATGAGAGTATTACTCGAATGGATATTACAATTCATTAGAAACCATCGAACATTTACAGAATTATATCGTTATCACAGCACATTACACTTGTATTTCGATGGTTTCGGGTCCTTTTTCGAAGACGAAGAGTTATACTTGGTGCTACTCGGAACCTGCAAAAAACATTGGGAACAGTTGATGATTCCACTTAATAGTAGTATTCCCATCTTCTGCAGTATAAACATTTAGTACATGTTTGGCAACATTTGCTAAATTTCAAACTGCTTTTTATCCACATGTACTACCCATTTATTTAAAAAAAAGGTTGAACCCCAACCTTGAGGGCCCCCACCGCCCCACCCCTAGAGTATTATGGAAGAGGTAAATCGTGGGATGTGCTTCAACAAACA